TTCGAACCAAAAGCAAAAATGCAACTTGAAAATTTTACAGTTCAGAGAAAACGGTTGTGTCTGAATTTTCTCAAAAATTCACTAAAATCACAAAAAGTTTTGATTTTTCTGGCCTTGGCAAATTTTGTGCTGAAAACGAATGTTTTCCCCAAATGTGCGATCTCTTTAAAATTCGTAACTTCGAACCGAAAGCAAGTAAGAACTTGAAATTTCAAGTCAACAAAGGCGAAGTGCAAAAAATTGAAAAAACTAGTTATTGTGCTCCAAAATCCCTAAATGTACAGAACGAAAAATAATCTATTTAGTGCGTAAAAATTCAAAGCCATATTATGTCCACCGCTCAAGCATTTGAAAAAATCAAAAAATGGAGCTATTGGGACAAAACTGAAGCTTTATTTCCTTACTTCCTACTTCAAAAAATTTAACTGGAGAGATGAAACGGCACTTACCAATTTTGCCTCCTTTGGTTTGAAGATGCAAAGGCAGTCCGGATCCTGCAGTGGGCCTTTCCCTGGCTGGGGCCGGATGTGTAGAGTACGGTCCTGTTGAAGGGCTAGTGGTGGAAAAATTAAACGCTGAAGCTGAGGATTTAATGCCTGAAAACCAACGCAATTTAAGTGAGCACAGAAGTCTTGCCAAAGCTTACCAGGTGCCGAGTATTGGCTCGACTGATATGTGGTATTGCCCGAATCCATCATTCCCAATTTAGTGCTGCCGAAATTCGTGCTTTGAGACTGGGGGATTCCGGCTTTCTGATAGGGCAAGGAAGGAGTGGGAACTGGGGCAGGTGCAGCTGGTGGCGGGATGTTGTTAGAAGCGATCGCTCGCCGAATCTGCAAACAACCAATCTTCCAGTTCGTTTGCCACGGCAATGGAGAAAAGCATTGGAAAACTAGCGCATCTACCTGCTTAGTGGCATTGTTGGACGCTCTATGCAAGTGCAAGGTATCGCCGAACATTCTAGAAGGCTGTTCTAGCGTACTGACACCCGATTGAGCACCTGAGCCTGTGGAAGACATCACTTGGTTGGTTGGCGTGGCCGAGCTGCTTGAATGCTGCTGACCAGACGAGCTCGCATCGCTCCGATGTGTCGGTGAACTGAAACGATGTTTTAACATTTAACAGTCGACAGTTACTCAGAGCTCAGAGTTGGGAGGAACGTCGTTACTCAACCGCCTCGTATTTTCCAGTAAACTGCGCTCAGCTCAATACGTTACAAATTGCACATCGGAAACGGCATATTGCTAATGCCCATGGAAACCGACACGTAAAGGATGTACGTAATAATTCAAGTCGAAAAATTACCTGGAAAAGCATTGTGGACCGGAAGAAAATGCAATCCGGAAATTTTCCGATGGAACGGGTAGCTCAATCTACATCATTTTTTTTAAATACCTACCGAATTTTGTTTGTCACGATCTTTTCAAAATTTTCTCGTTTAAATCGAAAATGGGACCACATGTGGAATTACCGCAAATCCATGGAGAAGATATTGCGCCTTCAGTCCACTCAATTTGCAAATCTGCCACACTTCGTTTTTTTGCATTTTTGCACGTTTCACAACAACTTTTTTGGAAAAATTATCATATCAAATGGGAAATGCATGAAAAATAAAGTATTTCCATCATGAAGTATAGAGCAGCTTGCTGTGTTATTGCAGCAATTTTCCACTTTCTGAAACTCCAACTCGGTTTTGCGATCGCGATTTTTGAGAGGAGAAGAGAGTTGAAGCGAAAGAGAGTAGAAAGAAGTTACTGCCATTAAATAGAAAGTAGATTGCGCCGTTAGCCCAATAAATTTTCCAATTTACCACATTTGAGATACATTTTTGGCGAATTTTTCAAAACACGCTTTTGCGATTTTCCGATCACTTTATGATACATTTTTTTAAATAATTCGAAATGGAAAATTAGTAAAAACTTATATCAACGTGATGATCGATAAAATATGGCTCCAATTTTGCAGTGAATTTCAAGTTTGTCAATCTCCAACTTGATTTTTACCAATTTGCTATACTAAACTTTGAAATAAAAGCAGCTTGTTTGCCACGATTTCAAAAAAAAAATTTCAAGCAAAATCTAAATTAGGCAGACAGTTGCAGTTAACGCCGTTAAATAGAAAAAGATTGGGCCGTGAGCCCGATAAATTTTCCAATCTCCCTCAATTGAAATCAACTTTGTGTGAATTTTTTCAAAACTTTCCTGTGCGGTTTTGCGATCACATAATGACAGAATTTTAAACGTTATCATTCGAAATGTAAAATGAGTGAAAAATTAATATAAACGTACCGAAAAAGACAAAATATGGCTTTATTAATTTGTTTGTTGATGTTCATCAACAGGCGCGACACTAATTGCGCTTCTGAAAACCTTATGCGGCGGTTTGATTAAGTAATTTCACTCCGGCCGGATAAACTCCAGACTTTAGGCAAGCTGCCTTATCCCATAAATCGCTAGGGAAGAGAATCTGTTACAAATTGCACATCGCATGCTCGTATATTTGCAATTTTTCAGTGAAATGGGCGCGTAAAATATGCATGCGATGGATCAGGGCCAAACACAATTTGTGCAAAAAATGGATAAAGAGCAATGCTATAAAGCAAGTAGGGCTTTAAGACCTGCACGTATAAATGGCGCAAAATTTCTGATTTTTTCAGCCTTGACAAATGTTGTACTAAAAATGAGGGTTATTGCTCAAATGCTTGTTCTCTTGAAAAAATCATAACTTTGAACCAAAAGCAAGTAAAATCTCCAAATTTTTCTAGTCCAGAGAAAACAGTTCAATGTGTCCGTTCTGAAAATTGCACTCAAATTACCTAAAATTGTGATTTTTCCGGACTGCTAAAATTTAGTGCATAAAATGAACGTTTTCGCACAAATGAGCGATCTCTTCAAAGTCACGAAAAATTCGTGACTTTGAAGCAAAAAGAAGTAGGAGCTTGAAATTATTCTCGTCCAGAGCCGAACGTTCACTGAATTTTTCCGGAAAATTTGGTGCCGAAAATGAGCGTTTCCGCCCAAATGTGCAATCTCTTGAAAATTTTGTAACTTCGAACCGCAAGCAAGTAGGAGCTTGCAATTTTTCTGGTCCAGAGACGACAGTTCAAGCTATCCGTTCTGAAAATTTCACTCAAATCACCTGAAGCTATGATTTTTCCGGACTTTAAAAATTTAGTACAGAAAATAAGCGTTCTAGTCCAAATGCGCGATTTCTTGAAAAATTCGTGACTTCGAACCGGAAGCAAGTAGGAGCATGCGATTTTTCTAGTCCAGAAAAGACGGTTCAAGCTATCCGTTCTGACAGTATCACTCAAATCACCTGAAACTATGATTTTTCCGGACTTTGAAAATTTTGAGCAGAAAATAAGCGTTTTAGTCCAAAAGCGCGATTTCTTGAAAAATTCGTGATTTCGAACCGGAAGCAAGTAGGAGCATGCGATTTTTCTAGTCCAGAAAAAACGGTTCAAGCTATCCGTTCTGACAGTATCACTCAAATCACCTGAAACTATGATTTTTCCGGACTTTGAAAAGTTAGTGCAGAAAATAAGGGTTTTCGCCCAAATGTACGATCTCTTGAAAAATTTGTAACTTCGAACCGCAAGCCAGTAGGAGCCTTAAATTTTTAACGTCCAGAGAAGACAGTTCAATCTATCCTTTCTGAAATTTTTTTTCTAAATTTTTGCCTAAAATTGTGATTTTTCCGGATTTCGAAAATGTATTGCCGAATGGGAGCGTTTCCGCCTAAATGTGCAATCTCTTGAAAAATTTGTAACTTCGAAACGCAAGCAAGTAGGAGCTTGCAATTTTTCTGGTCCAGAGAAGACAGTTCAAGCTATCCGTTCTGAAAATTTCGCTCAAATCACCTGAAACTATGATTTTTCCGGACTTTGAAAATTTTGTGCAGAAAATAAGCGTTTTTGTCCAAATGCACGATCTCTTCAAAAGTTCGTGACTTTGAACCGAAAGCAAGTAGCAGCTTGCTATTTTTCTAGTTCAGAGAAGATGGTTCAAGCTATCCGTGCTGCAAATTTCACTCAAATCACCTAAAACTATGATTTTTCCGGACTTTGAAAAGTTAGTGCAGAAAATAAGCGCTTTCGCCCAAATGTGCGATCTCTTGAAAAATTCGTAACTTCGAACCGAAAGCAAGTGGGAGCTTGAAATCTGTATAGTCCAGATAAGACAGTTGAATCTATCCTGTCTGACAATTTCACTCAAATCACCTAAAATTTTTATTTTTCCGGACTTCCGAATTTCGAAAATTTAGTGCAGAAAATGAGCGTTACGGCCCAAATGCGCGACCTCTTGAAAAATTCGTGACTTCGAACCGAAAGCAAGTAGGAGCTTGTAATTTTTCTAGTCCAGAGAAGACAGTTCAAGCTATCCGTGCTGCAAATTTCACTCAAATCATAATTTTTCCGGATTTCGAAAATTTATTGCCGAATGGGAGCGTTTCCGCCTAAATGTGCAATCTCTTGAAAAATTTGTAACTTCGAACCCCAAGCAAGTAGGAGCTTGCAATTTTTCT